GGGGGGGGGGGGGGGGGAGAGACTTCTGCTTTAACCTGTACCTAAGCTAAAGCCCAACAGATGTGATGTGGCTTCTCTAGCACACCCTGGCACAGCTCCTGTTCATTTCAATGGGGCTGGGGCTGAAGCATCAGGCCTTCCAACTGGATCATGCCCCATAGACTTTGGGTCATATTTTGCTTGAGGAATGAGTTCTGTTTTAGCTCAAGAGGTGAAGCTAGATCAGGAATGCCCAACAGGTAAAAGAAGGAGCCACATCTACTGGTTTCTTGTGGAGCTACTGACACAGCCCAGAGGTTCTTCAACCAAGGATTTCCTATCAGAAAAGTAAAGTTGAGCTTGGAGAGACCTTAGAATTGAAATTAGGGCCCCATGGGAGATGAGGACCATCAAAGAAGTCCAGCACTAGAAGGAGGAACCTTGCCATTCAAGGTGCACCCTGAACCAGAGGCTTACTTCCCTTGGGGGGAGACAAGAGTGAGCTGCTCCTCAGCTGCGTACCAAGGGTGACGGAGTCTTCCAGCTTCCTGGCAACTGTTTTGGATATCCCAGTTTCTGACAATCCTCTTTGGGGATTGTGTGGGCAGCAGAGCCCTGTATTTGTAGATTCTGGCCAGCAGAGAGAGACATCGCCACGTGACTGAGCTATGGCAAGAACAGCCAACAGGCCCCGCATGAAACAAGAAGAGGAGCCTCTTTTTCTCACTGGGTTCCACATTTACATTCATGCCCTGCAGGTTTTACATTCATTTTGGATTTTTATTGCTGGATTGAATTTGTTCCCTGTTCTTTCTCATAGGCGTTGGGTGCTGGTAGGGGGTGGCGGGGAGTTCGCTCCGGTAATCTAGAAGCAAGAGATTGCATGACACAAAAGAATTATGGTTCTTTAATAATCAATTAAATAGTAAATCTTCAGCAATTGTGATTACGTGTGTCACGTAGACTAGTCTAAAATTTTACATCAGACTTGTTCTGATAGGTCAGTGTTTTTCCAACTTGGCAACTTTAAGATATATGGACTTCAGCTTTGAAATCCACACATCTTAAAGTTGCCAAGTTTAAAGAACACTGTGTTAGATGAATCTTATAGTACTGAGCTGAGCTTGGCTGATCTCAAAAGGCTAATATTTGGGATGGACACCACCAGCACTTCTCAGGACTCCAGGTGAGACTGAGATGTAAAAAAGAAAAGAAAAGAAAAGAAAAGAAAAGAAATCCTGAAAAAAAACTAAGAGTAAACCATTTCCATCCTGGCCCCCCACAAACCACATGAACCTGTCTGTGAGGTTACCAGGAGCTGAGGGGGCTGCACCTCTTAATCTCCCTTGGCAAGAAGGCACCAAGTCCCCCTCAGAAGCACTTGGGTGATTTATTCAAAAAAATGGGCCATCTGTTATTGTTCTGTACCTTCCTCTGTAGAAGGCTTGGTCACATTGGTGGGCACAGAATGAATGGCAGCATGAAGTCCTGACCAAGGAGGTTGCATCCACTCCAAACGTTCCATTAGAAAGTTGTAAGCAGAGCATGTTGTGTAACGGATCATAGAATCGTGGACTTCTGGAGTTGGAGGGGTCCCCAAGGATAATCTAGTCCAAGTCTCTGCAATATGCAGGAAAACCAGTTAAACCATCCACAAGGGGTGGCTCTCCTGCTCCTCTTAAAAACCTTCAGAGTTGGAGAGCCCACCACCTTCATAAGGAGACTCTTCCACGGTTGGGCAGATCTTACTATTATGAAGTTCTTACTATATTTCAAAGAAATTGTTTTTGATGGCCGTGAGCAGAAGGACGGGTGGTGGAGGGGGGAATAAAAGATAAGTGTTTGCAGGGCTGGAGAAAATACATATTCTTTCCGAATGTCCAGATGTGCACTTGTTGCTGAGCAAGCTTCTCAGGCTTAGCGTCACTGGACTGCTTCAGTGTTCCATCGGGGGACGGGGGAGGTTGGCTCCCTAGAGCATGGCCAAATTGCTGCGGTTGATGAAAGTGATTCTGCAGTTTGTAGAAGGCCAAAGAGCAAGGAGTCAGGTCTAAACTAGGATTATGGTGGCCAGCCTGAGCAAATGCCAGAACTCAGCAGTAGGACTTCTGGGGCTCCGACGGCTGATGGGTGAAATCTCTGCCTTTTCTCTTTGGTTCAGAGGACGGCAAGCCGCCAAACCCCCACCTGGGTCCTGTGGAAGAGAGGCTAGCCCTGCACGTTCTACAGAAGCAAGGCTTGGTCCCTGAACACGTGGAGACGAGGCAGCTGTACAGCCCTCTACAGCCGGACATTGAGCAGGTAAAGTTGGGGGGAGAAGAGGAGCAGCTGCTGACTCAGAAGACACTTGTGGGGTCTTGAGTCCTTTCAGCCTTAAGGCTGCCCTTCCGGTCATGATGGGGATAGTTTCTGTATCCCGGAAAAGTGACCTCCTGGAGCCTGGCTGAAGGACCCAGCGTGCTGCCGAGAGAGGTTCCTATCTTTGTCCAGGCTCCTCATGTCCCTCAGAGATGCTGCATTCCATGGCAAGGCTGCCTAGTGGTTTTCTCAGGGATATTGCAAAGAGATCAGCTTTCCCTAATTCATGGGTTCCCCTTTCATTACAGGGCAAACTTCAGCTTTGGGTGGACTTGTTTCCAAAATCACTTGGGCCACCAGGACCACCATTCAATGTGACCCCACGAAGAGCAAAGAGGTAATGGATCACCTTGCTCTCCAACTCTCTCACGCACATACCTTTCCCCATAGAACCCAAGGACAACCTGTTGAATATGACCACAGTCTCATCTTGCTTAGAATCATCTTCTTCCTAACTCTAGCAGCCCTCAAGCAGACGGCGAAGGAAGACAGTGAAGCTTCCCTACCATCCCCTGGCATTTATAAGAAGGCTGCTTTTGAACACATAGGCTGAATTTAGCCACAATGGCCAATAGGTTCATTCCCCACTCCACCCCCACTGCAGTAGCTCTTCCCCAGGGCTACAGTCATGAGGGAAGCCTCAACATGCCCTCGTTGCAATGGAGTCTGTAGTTGCCATGTGGTTTCCATGCCCGGAATAGCACAAGAAGAGCATCAGGGTAATCACCCAGATGCTCTGGACAAGTTGGGTCTTGATCCGAATGGGGCTCAGAAAAAGAAAAAGCCCAGCTACCTTGAGAAGCCAGCAGATCCAGGAAAGAAAATGTCCCTCTGGAGGGTTGGTTCTCTACGGATGCTACTGAAATGGCTTGTGAATTCTGTTTCTGTGGGGTGGAACTGGGCAGGGTTGGCATCCTCTGCTTGAGGCACTGCAGTAATCTGGTGGGTTCCTTCTGGGAAAGAAAAGAGGAGAGTAGGAGATGTCATAGGCTTACCTCTTCACTTACAAAACAGACCCTAAGGATCTGGGAAGTGTCCTTTGCCTGTTGCAGTGAGGGACCCTCATTTATTTCTTTACTTGAGTTATGTGCTGCTCTTCTGTTTGAAAAGAGGCTCTTGGCAGTCTGTTGATCCCCATCTGGGCTACTGCTTCCAGGTTCTACTTGCGTTGCATTGTCTGGAATGCCCAAGATGTCATCCTGGATGACGTCAGCATCACCGGCCAGAAAATGAGTGACATCTACGTGAAAGGGTAGGTAGCCCAAAGCTTCATCATGTTTTCTTAGGTGACGAGGGAACCTTTCCTCCTCTCAGTTCCAGCGATGGATCTGCTTTGTACCAGATGGTTCTCATGAAATTTACCCCATTGAATCCTGGAAGCTGCTTGTGTGTTGTTGTCCACCTCCAATCCACGTGCCCTGCTGAGATTAATGTTTCCACTGAGCAGTTGTTCCTCTTCAAACAGCTGCCACTGCCAAGTTTTCTGGGATGTTCTGAGAGTGTTCAGATGCTTCATACAATGGCCTGGATAAGGGCCCACACCGTCCCAATGTGTTGGACCTTAAACTCTCAAAACACATCTTCAGATGGGGAACAATTGCTTTAACTCAAACCTGAGCCCCAAATGCTACCTTCTCTCAGCCGAGCCCTTTGCTTTCAAAACAGTAATTACAATGTGTCCCTCACAAAGTTGTCCTGGAAATGATTTAAACATGAAAATTAAATGCCGCATAGCCTTCTTGCAGACTGACTGTTCTGAATTTGCACCCTCCTTGTGTTGTAATCCTACTGGTATTTCTTTGATCTTTTCCCACTTCATAAAACATTCGGAGTCTCCCCAGACAAGCTGGTGGTGTTTGTAATGGAACCCGTCATTGTCTGAACACACCTTCACTGCTTTTTCAGAATGGTCCCCAGACCCTCATCTGCTCCACTTCTGTCCCACCAACATGAACGCAGCTCCCGGCCTCCCAGGGCCTGCGCCATGCCAGTGTCCACGGGAGAAGAGGGATTTGTAAGGGAGCAGGACTCGAGGGGATTCTGAGAGGAAGGTGGAGGCAAGCAATGGCAAGACTAATGTTCACCCCCTCTTCGTTTACCCCCCGCCCCAAATTGAGAAAACCTTGCCAATGTGGTGGAGAGTTTAAGGTGTCCATATTGTCCAATTCTTAAGGTTCCATAAACACCCTACAGTGTTTTTGCTATCTGCCTGGGCGGCAAAAGCTGGAGGCCTCCCAAAGACCTGTCAGGGTCCCACATGGAGCTCCCAGGTTAAGCTGGGCTGGGAAGGCTCACCTGACAGTTAAACTGAGCTCATGATGCAAAGAACAAGGAGAACCGTAGAAACCGAAACAAAAAACAGATTCCAAGAGAAGTGGAGAAGTTACAGCTGCAGCCCTCGATTCCTGCGGCAGGCTTGGACCGTCATGGCCTTGTAGAAAGTGGCTTGAACGTTTTCCCGTCCTCCATTCAACTTGGCCTTTCCCAGAAAACCTCCTGCAAACTCCTCCTGCTTTGGCAGCGAGGAGTCAATTGCAGCTGGTCCTCCCAGTGGCACGGTGGGGGTGCCACTGTTGGGCCCGGTCTCTTTGGCAGGTGGCCGTCGTCCTCTGGACTTTTGCGGCTGACTGGCCCGGACTGCTTCTCTGGCTTGCAGGTGGCTGGTTGGGTACGAGGAAAACAAGCAGAAGACGGACGTGCACTACAGGTCCCTGGGAGGCGAGGGCAATTTCAACTGGAGATTCGTCTTCCCCTTCGACTACCTCCCCGCTGAGCAGGTCTGCTCCGTGGCGAAGAAGGTGAGTGTCTCGAGGGGCCCGGGCAGCCCCTGCCGGGTTGCCTCGGAGGCTTGAATGGAGCTGTGCCTGATGCTGATGTGTCTGGGGGGGTAAGGTGGGGGGTGTGTGACAGCTTCCCCTGCACTCTCCCCTTGCAACCTGCTCTTTTTCCAATTTTATTTTGGCTCCTGTCTTTTCATTACGATATATAGTCAAAGAGGGAAAATATCCTCACCCAAAGAGCAAAACTGGATGGGAAGGTTAATTTGCGATGATCGCAAATACGAAATTAGGGCCCTGATGCAAATTGCTGCATGAGTGGTTCCCTACACTTTAGAAGGTTTGGGATTAACGGTTCTCAGTTCACCCCAGCAACAGAGGTAGCCGGGGGGGGGGTGTCCAAAAGAAAGTTGCCAGAACCATGCAATCAAAGCCCTGTCCCCTTTTTACGTGGAATTGTGCCGTTGTGGCCACCTGTAATGGTATGTGGGAGTGACCTTGGGAGACAGGAGGAACAGCCACAGCCAGGGCAGCAGCCGGATAAGCAGCAGCTGAGCCCGCAGAAGGAAGGGGGGCGTGGGAAGCGCCTCAGAAGGGACCCTCCCTTGTTCCTTGGGCTGTAAAGGCGAGGGGGAGAGAAGTACCTTCAGACTTGCAAGATTGATGTCAACCTTGTGAGGTAGCCCAGACAAGAAACACACCCCGAAGTACTAGTTCTAACTTTATTGCAAGGTTATGTTGACAGGATCATGCTGGCAAGGGAATTCTGGGAGATGAAGTCCAGACACCTTAAAGTTGCTGTGGTGGAGAAAGACTGTTGCAGATGATGGAACTTTGTGCATGTTTCACAATCTCGCTGGCTGGCGGCCAGGAGCAGGACAAGGGAGTCTTAGAGTCACAGATCGAGCAGTGCCTGGACTGGAAGGCCTCTTGGGCATCGCCCGGCCCACCCCCTGCCCAGGGCAGGCATTCATTCTGACAGCCTCTCTAGCTCCGCCAGTTTCACACTTCCCCGGAAGCTGGTCTCACAGTGTGTGCGATTTCCCCAGCCCTCCTCCATTTCCAAGTGAAGTCTGAAAATACCCCTTCCCGCTGTGCCACGAGGCTGGTGTAGCTGATCGGGAAATAAACCACTTGTAAAAGCTCTTTGCCAAGGTAGAAATGATGAAGGAAAGATGGGTCTCTGGACCAGGGAGACACGTTCCTCTTGGACCAGTCTTGATCTTGCCGCGTGCTGTTGAAATCTAAGTTTGTTGTTTGCCGTGGGGGTGCAGGGGGGAGATGGAAAGGAAACCCAGAAGGAAAGCGGCTGCTCTGAAGCTGAAACCAAAACTATACATGGGAAAAACTCAACCCTGCCTGAAAGCAACCTACGTGGTTGGGGCTGGGGAGGGATCAGTGGGTGTTAACTGTGGGGCAGGGTAGCTGTCGGGGAAGAGCCTCAGTGCCAGGGCAGAATGTGCTCCCCTCGCTTGGAATGGGCCACGCTGCTTCTAAAGGGGAATTTGGCACAAACCTCCCCAAAGGGTGGACAACCCAGGCCCCGCTCCCCTTTTCCATGGGCCCCAGAATGCCCCATGTCCAGGGGGAGGATCTGATCCAACCTTGCCAGGGTCTTCCCGGCTGAATCCACTCTTTCTTCAGAGGAAAAGTCCTCATTCATTTGTTCTGAGGTGTCATCGGAGCTTGTGAACCCCCCCCCCCACTAAAACCGGGTCAGGGGTTTGCTTCAGCCCACCTTGACATAGAAGCATGAAATATTCTGCCGAAGTGACACTTTTAGGTTAATCCGTCACGATGCTGCTTCCCCCAGATGTCTTTGGGAGGCTTCCCCTTGCTGGTGTCTCTGCAAAGTCTGAAGCGATTGGGCTCCCTGCTCTCCCTCGGGAACTCATTATAAAGATGGATGCTTTGCAGTTCTCCCTGGAATGTTTCCCCAGATGGTCGTCATGCAAGCCGGTCTTTCCCTCTCTCTGCTCCCCTGCCTGCCGGGGGATGGCCAGGTGCTGCGTCCTCCATGCCATTCCCACAGACCAATTTTTGCTTATCCAGGCGAGGAGTTTATCCCAGTCTTGGGGAGCATTCAGCTGACTCAGGGACCTCCTAGGGCCACCAGGCCCCCTAGAGCAGTGTTTCTCAACCACAGCAACTTTAAGATGGGTGGCCTCCAACTCCCAAAACTCCCCAGCCAGAGTAAGGGAAGCTGACCAGGAAAGCAACAAGGATCCAGGAGGAATCAAAACAAGGAGATTTCTTCACCCCCATTTTTGAGATGCCTCCATGTCTTGACATGGCGAGGGATCGGTTTCCTTCAAAAGCCTTCCAGATACTTGGATGGGGAAGAGGAACAAAAGGAATATCTATATCACCCTGGGTAAATGCTTTCTTTCAAAGCAGGAATGATCCAAAGCAGTTGAACATTGAGTTCACTGTAGATTCGGTGATTACTGAATATCAGGCTCAAAAAAAAAAAAAAGACACATTTCATAACTGATATGCATGCATTTGCATAATCTTGCTTCTGCTGTTCTTGGGAAGGGGCACCAGAATTTCTGGTCAAATTCTATTGAGTTATTAGTATGTGTATCGAGTTATTTGACTTTCTGATCAAATTCTCTTCTTCTGAATCTGATTTGATATTGCTCACTTACTGGATCCTTACAGAATAAAATGTCATTGCTGGATTCCTGACCAAAGATTCTTACAGCCCCAGGTTCCCAACGTCCCTCTCTCCCCATACTTAATGGTGAACATCAGTGCAGTCTTGCTTGTAATGGCTTCTTATCTATGTGCAAATGCAGGAACATTTCTGGAGCTTGGACAAGACAGAGAATAGAGTCCCACCCCAGCTGGTCCTTCAGATCTGGGACAATGACAAATTTTCCTTTGATGATTACCTGGGTGAGTGGCAAATCTGGGCAGGCCAATGTTGCATTTCTCAATCCTCTCTATGAATATCCTGCTGCTTCATTTTGCCCCATCTACTTCTCTCCTGTTTAATGTGGGAGCGTTTATGCAATTGGTTTGGGGACTGGCACAGGAGAACTTGCCAGGAATTAATGTGCAGCTATCAAATCATAGAACAGAAGGGAAACTTGATGGGATTACACAACACCATTGGAATTCCTCTCTGTGCCATGAGTTAATCCATATCCATAGTAGCTGGTGGACATTTCTGCAAAGAAAGACTGTGGCGGATGGTACCTGGAACAGAGCCAGGCCTTACGTGGAGCCACTGCCCACAGCAGCTTGCCACAGGTCAGCAGCCACTACATGGAGAGGTTTCAAGTGCCAGCGGGGGCCATTTTGAGGGGCCACAGAAAGACCACAAGACTCAGCAGGCAGCCTTGTCTTTGGCAAAGGGCAAAGACTGAATTCTGTTCACCGGTGTTGCCTTCTAAAGATATTCAGTCTCCCCCAAATACATCTGAGATACGTTGCCTTCCAGAAAATCTTTCTGAAAGTTAGAAAAAGGTTTCGCTACTTCTTTTCTTTTAACTTACAAATAACACAACCTTAAGTGTGGCAGCTGGGTTGGCTATGAAAAGTTCCTGTGGGCTCAGTTTTAGTAGAGCAGTTAGAAGTGCTGTGTGAAAAGCCCAGTCAGAGACAGAGATGGGGAAACCACACTGCCGCTCCCAAATGTGTGCAAAACATATGGACTTGCACATCCAGACAGCCCTCCCCTGGGTATGGATGCACACCTACTGTCCCCAGACACTGGCTTCGAGATGGTGCAAGAGACCTGGCTATTCCACCTGTTTTCTTCACAGCTTTTGCTCCTTCTTTCTTTTGACTTTACAGGCTCCATCCAGTTGGATCTCAACTGCATGCCAAAGCCGAGCAAGACAGCGGAAAAATGCAACTTAGATCTTCTTGAGATCCGGGAGAGAGAAGTTTCGCTTTTTGAGCAGAAGACAGTCAAGGGTTGGTGGCCTTGTGTGACCGAGCAGGAAGGCACAAAGATAATTGGGGTAGGTCTTCTGGGCCTGCTTGTTTTGCGAGTGAAAGTCTTCTGCCTAGGTAGAGGAATTGGGACAGTCAATTTGACACATAGTCCCAGTAAGAGCAGATCTGCCACCACATTTAAAATTACTTTTGAAAGGGAAGAGATGTTCCTCTTTGAGATGTTCTGCCACTCCTTCCAAGAACACACCCGCCTCTGGATTCATTTACTTTGCAACCAGGAAGCTTCATTCATGAACAGAACCAACCATGTTGCTGGACCCAGACCTTTTGGATGGGGTTGGGCAATAGAATAGAACATATTTCCAGTGGTAACATCACCTGAGATCCTAATTTCCTTGTTTTTAAATGAATTTAAAATGCATTATCTGTTTGCTTAGTCCGCAGGATTTGTAAGTCACTCCAGTCAGTCAAAACTGAGGTCTTAGAATCCTAGAGTTGGATGGGTCATTAAGGTGTCCAGCCCATCTCCCTGCTCAGAACATTAATCCAAATTAAAGAAGGGGCCAAGACTCTCTCCTGCTCCACCATGCATCTCAGCCACCTGCATGGTCAGCTGCTGGTCAGGCTGATCCACACCTCTACGCCTGGGATTGCTTGGAGGTTTGGGGATGTCAGCCCTTCAGGGTAGACCAGACTAGGAAACCAAAGTTATGTGGGTCAGTAGGTTATGGTAACAGAATCTTGCAAGTCTGAATGTGCTTCCCCCCTTTATCTTCATGAGAAATGGGGAGGGTCTTGTCTGAGACGTTTTCTCAGGTTACAGTTCTGTCTTGAACTCCGGTTTCTTTTATCTGGCCGTGGTCTTGGTAGTGGCTCCTCCTCCTGTCCCTCAAGATCTTTCCTTCTGCCCATTACAGGGGATCAGAGGGAGATCCACACCCTCCTGCTTTCTGAAGCAGAATGGTCCTGGAGGACCCCCAGCCTAAAGAGCCCATAGAAGCTAAACCTATTCCAACCCCCGAATGCTCAGTGAAGCACTCAGATTGCACTTGTTGCCTGCTTAATGGGGCATCTGCAGGGAGGGTTGAAAAAGTCAAAATGGTAGGCATGACTGGGTGATTGAAGACCTGCCCTTTTTTATGCACCTCACATGCTGCTGCAAAGGAAAAACGTGTGAACTCCAATAAAGCTAAGGAAGACTGAGGTCTGCCTCAATTACGGGTTAGGGATCAGAGGAAAGCAATTTCAGAAGCTTGATTTCTATTCCAAGAGGTTGCTGGGCCACGCTTGTGTTGTGGTCCAGTGCAAGTAAATGTGAGGTCTAGAACTGGATGTACATCCCCATGGTTTTGAATGGATATCTTGAAGGCAAGTGGCAGGCCTCTCTCCCAAAATTCTGCTCTCGTTCAGAATTGCAAAAAGTTGCAGAGATTTTCTAGGCAACCTCCTCTTCCCATCTTCATTCTGAAGGAACTTTGAAGGCTCCAGAAAGCAGGTTCAGGAATGATGTCTATGGTGGGGAGACACCTGGGAAGATGCTTGCATGACCACATACATTTCCCAAATGTTTCCTACACAGCAGCAGGGGAAGTCTTTCTTGCTAGCAGACCCCTGTTCTCCTTCATTGCTTCTTCCTCAGGAGGATGTGGAACGTTGGGACCACACCAGAAATTAACTTGCAAGGGGCAGCCATGTTGGTCTGCTTGATAGCCTCCTTGGGAGTATGAAGGCACCTTAGTTCAGAATTCTCAGCCAGTATAGCCATGTTGGTTGGGGTTGATAGGAGTTGTATCCCAAGTTGTATTCTAAAGGGTATCGGGTTGGAGTTGGCTGTCTTTAGAGTGGTTATCTGAGGGTGAGTTCTTTTAAAAATTCATAACGAAAATAGCTTCAGTGTTCATGGCAATTGATAGACTGCTATTGCAGTGAATTTCAAGGCAAATTTGGAGAAATTGACCAGGCAAAATGTTTTTGATAAGAATACTGGTTTTTCTCCAGAGATCTGGTATATCTCCAAATAAGTAAATGTTTGAAAGAGGTCTTGGAATATTTCACTTGGAAAAAGGGAATAGCATAGTGAAATTCTTTTTTTTTTTTTAACTGAACATTTTTGAGAGTTCATATCTCTGTTCCTAGCCTGATGGAGCAGAAGGTCTTTTTATTCAGAAGAAGCTGACTGAGGTCAGACTACTTGCCTGCTCTAAACCATCTGCTCTAGTGGTTTCTCTCCAGGATCACAGGCAGAGAAGGGTCTCTTCCATCACTTTCTCCCAGTTTCTTTCCTTGGAAGGGCCAAGGACTGAACCTTCTGCATGCAAATGAGGTGACCTATCACCACTCCACACCTGATCAGTCCTTCCACCTTTGGGTCCTCAAACACGGCCCCACCTCATCTCTCTTTTGCAGGGGAAGTTGGAGATGACACTGGAGATCATCAATGAACAAGAGCATGAAGAACGGCCAGCTGGATTGGGCAGGGATGAGCCCAACATGAACCCCAAGCTGGAAGACCCAAAGTAAGAGGCAATAAGAGTGGTGGTGGGGGCAGGTCGACTCAATTTCTGCTCTCTTCAGAAAGCAATGGAGAGCATGAGAAGATTTTTAAAGGCAAATCTGCTAAGTAATTTTGTGTACCAACATTGCACTCTGTCACATATGCAGGTGCCTGGAGAAGAGGGGAAAATTGAAAAAGAAAAGAACACATGACAGTAATATCACAAGGTCTAGGGTGTTCTTGGCTTCTAGCCTAGCCCAATTTCTTTTCCATCAGAAAGCAAAGAAGTGGCAGTAGGAAGGACTCCCTGCTCAGTATCAAAGCCAGGCTTGGCACCCTGGCCATAAGTGGCCCATCCTGGCCCCCGTGATGGGTTTGCAGATCCTATGCCAGGCAATCTTGGCTTCCTCTAGCCCACTAAAATGCTCTTTGTTGCAGGCGCCCTGAGACCTCCTTCCTGTGGTTCACCTCACCCTACAAGACCTTGAAGTATATCCTGTGGAGGAGGTTCAAGTGGGTCTTCCTCATCTTCCTCATTCTCTTCATTGTGTTGCTCTTCCTGGGAATCTTCATCTATGCCTTCCCGGTAAGATCATGGGGGTTTCACTTTTCATCTCTCTTTGCCCTCTTCTCTCTTTCTTCCATTTCCCCTCCCTCTTTGTCCTCCTCCCTTTTCTCACCTCTGCGCTGCTTCTCTGCCTCTTTCTTTCACCTCCTCCTCAATCCTGCCTTCATCAGTGCCTTAGGCTTCTGGGTGAGCTCCCAGGGGTCCCAATGGAAGCTTTGCATTGAGTCCTGCTTGCTCAGTGTAGCATACTCTGGGTGGTGAAGTTCTGCCTTCTGTTCCAAGGAGCATCCTCTCCTTGTGGATTGTTTGCTGGTCATCGTTCCTGTTTAGACGTGGATGATCTCTCAACTTTGGTTGTTCTTGCTTTTAAAGTAGATTATTCTGGTAATCTACCCAGAGTCATCTCAATAAATAAAATTTTAAAAAATTAGACACCCTCGAATTACAGCAAGTTAAATACATGGCCATTTGAGTTAAAAAAAAAAAACCAGCGGTATCCAATATCCTATTTCATTAGTGTTGATTGGAAGCGATTGGTGCTAGGGGCATTTGCTTTGATTGGGTGAGAGTAGATGACCTTCAACTCCCCTTCTACAGCTTTGTGACTGTTACCAAAAGTTATGGAACCACTGAAGCGCCTTCTTGGTCCCCTCTCCCCAGTTTTTTAAGCAGAGGCGCTCAGTTAGTGACATCCTTGCTCCCTTGAGGCTTGGGACGGAGCAGAACAGAGGTGGGACTCCATCTATGAAACGTTCAGGCAGTCTGACTCACATTTCTAAAAAGCAACTGAGGCGTGTCATGGAATTTCTCTTATTTGGAAGAGATCTTTCTCCCCCCGCTCCCCAATTTTTGAGGTTGCTGACTTGAACGTCTCACCCTGAATCTGGGTTCTTTTCGCTGTTCTGTTACACATTGCTCTTTGGCAATCCCGCAAGTGGGGAGGGTGGCCGGGGGAGGGGGGAGCGGGAGGGATGTGTGTGTTGTGGTGAAGGGGAACCAGTCCTGATCTGAAGTCAGGGATGCCCCGGAACGCAGAAGTTGGCAGATGCAACAGAAATGATTCGTTGATTCATCTCAGAATGATTGCAGATGGAAAACTGAAAAACTACAGAATGATTTCTGAGAGCTTAACAGACCAGTCTGCCATTTGGGCGGGGCAGGGGAGGGAGGGCAGGGGGCTGTCCAGGTCATTCCACTAGGCAGGTCCACACCACGCAGCCCTCCAATCGCCAGGTTGCCTCCAGTCCTGCAGCTTGCCCACCAAGGCTCCATCGTCTTCCCTCCTGGGCTGCAGTCTTTTGTGAAGGGCTCCAGCGTCCAGGAGAAACGGGTGACCGCTGCTGCTCCCTCTAGACCGGCCTCCACCGCCACTGCACCCTCCGCATTGAATCCAAGGATCCTAGGCTCAGAAGAGACCTTGGGGGTCTCTGGCCCATCCCCCTGCCCACGGAATCCTCAGACCTTCTCAGACCACGGGCCCTCCAGCCTTGGCCTGAAAAACTCCAGTGCTGGAGCGCTCGCAGTCCCGAGGCCCAGGCCATTCCAGCGCTTGAGAGCTCTCAGGACATCCCCGTTATTTCAAGTGTGGGTCTCCCTCTGTAAAGCTCCCACCCACTGGTTCTTTAATCTAGAGCTCAGCTGTCGTTTGGAGTTCACATGTTTCTAAATGACGTTCTGCACTTTTGCAATTTGAAGAAATGCATAAGAAAATCCGTAGATTAGGGGAAAATGTCAGCAAAAATGCTCATATTTGTGAAACAGTCTGTCCCCAACTGCAGGAAAATCACTTCCCAAAATGTGCATTAGGCAAAATTGCAGGCAGAAATGCCTGTACCACCAGGGACATCTAAAATTACTTAACTGTTTTTTGTGCAAACTTTAAAAAAAAAAAAATCAAACTGATTCCAAATTTGGATAAACTAAACCTAAGCTCAGCAGATGGAAAAACAGGAATGCCAGTAGATATGTCCCTGCATACTTGCGACCTGTGTGATGCTGAAAGTTTGGCCATCGTGGCATTGATGATTGGTGGCCTGAGTCCTGCAGCGTGGAGGATCTCCCCATTGGCTCCCCATGCAGAATGGGGATCTTTTCCCATGCCGGTTCCATTGCAAAACAGCCTCCGGGGCCCTGAGTGGTCTTGGGGGATGGAGAGAATCACCCCATTGGCCCAAGCAGCTGTTGAGTGGAACCCCCCATAACTCAAGGTGCTCCTTTCCACAAGGATGCTGCGAAGAAGCCAGGGAAGGGTCCCACTCTCTCTTCCATGAACACTTGCTTACTGGGTTGGGAGATGAAGTCCTTTTGGTTTTCATCATTCCACTAAATGCAGTTTCCAGCCAGAAGGGAGAACCTCTCCCCCTTGCCCCCACCGGCCCTCCAGACAAACCCTAAAAATAACAGCTACACTATTCTGGCGGAAGCCCCCTGAAAGACAAATGGTGGGAAATTAATTAGGAGGCGGTAATGTTCCACCAGAGGGACCTGCTAATGGTGCGTGATGGCAAGCCTCAGTTTAGGCTTCTTGGCTGGTGGGGCGAGGGGCATGCCTCCCCCTCCCCAGACTGGAAGAAAGCCTTGGAAGCCAGTGCAAATTGCAATTTATTACCCTGCCTGGGGTCACCTTCTCTCCACCTTCTTCCAGTTGGCGCTGCTTGCTCCTGATCTCTTTCCAGGGCTGATTCTTTTTTTAAAAAAAGACCGAGCAGTGGAGATCAGCCTGTCCTAATTAAATCCAGTGGGTTTGGAAGGGAACCCCCTGCCTGCACGGTGTGTGTCGGAATCAAAGCCGGTTTCCAGGAGTGCTCTTTCCAACTCGATCAATGTGCCCGTAAACTTGGCTCCCCCAGGAGCAGAAGAAGGAGTGCTTTCTTTGGATTTATGTAACCGGCTCCTGCTGGGGGAGCAGCCTGCCTGCTGCAGAGAGGTGGACATGCAAAGAGGGGGGACGGAGAGGATTTGGCCATTCTTTCTCCACAGCCCACCCCACCCCAGCTGGAAGCTCACTCTTCTTCCAGCACGTCAGTGAGCATTTCCGTGCAGGGAAACTCATGTTACCAGCAGAATGCAGGATAACTTTTGGCCCTCGGGGGTAGTGCAAAAGAGGACTTGGGAAAAAGACATTTCTGGGTTTTATGCTGATTTTGGAAACCCAGATGCAAGGTTCAAAGCCCCACGGGTGGGTGAAAATGGCCAAAGAGGACCTGTACAGGAGAAAAGAGATTGCAAGCAAAAATGACATCTTTCATGGACTCACTCACTCACTCACTCACGGGATTGGCACTGAGCTCATTTCTCTTGAGATTAGTGCCCTGTGAGGTTATCTGGGGTGAGTTCAATTCTGTTGGCCAAAAGGAAGTGGATGGAGCTCTCTGCAACATGAATTCTGCCATCTGCAGCTTCAATCCCTGCCCTTCCAGGTTGGTGAAAGCCTGCACAGAGGTGGCAGGAAGCTGGGTCAGGGTGAGGGTGAAAACATCTTTGGCAGAGGAACGGATGCTGCCACCCTGAAGGACAATGGTGTCCTCCTCTGGGGAGTACACATGTTGGAGGGCTGGGAGTAGAGGGCTGGTTTGCAGCGGCTCTCCTCCTTTCTAAAGGGGCCATTCCAGTTAGTGATGGCAGGGGAGAGGTTGACCCCTAGAGCGCTCTGTTGTGGGGTGCTACAGGGCTTCACACTCTCTCCTTATTTGTTTAACATCCATAACTGTGAGGTTCACAAGTGGCAAGGGATCAGGTATCATCAATATGTAGATGATGCTCAACTATACAGGATGAGCCCCTGGCGATGTTGTTGAGATGCTGTCATCATTCCCGAAGGCTGCGAGGATCTGGATGGCGAGGACCAAGCTCTAGCCAAGCCTCACTAAGATGGAGTGGTGTGGACTTAGAAGACTTCTGACCCCATGAATATTCCATCCTTGGTTCTGGATGGGTTCTGTGTCCTCATGCTGAACTGGTTTTAATTTGGGGGTCTTTCGGCATTCACAGCACCTGTTTGAGGAGCCGGTGGCAGCTGTGGCCAGAAGCGCCTTTTCACAGCTCCATCTTGTGTGCAATGGCCTTCCCTTTTCATTCATGCCGTGGATACCTCTCATTTGAACTATTGCAATGCACTTATTCAGGGCTGCTCTTGTGTAAGCGCGCACATTAACTGCTCCAGAATGTGCTGATGTGAGTAGTCATAGGCACCTCATGGTTTGCCCATAGAATATCTTGACTTCAAGAGCTGCACGGGTTATTGCATGTACTCTGGGTGCAATTCAAGGTGCTGCTGGTCCCCTTTAGAGCATTTTATGGCTCAGAAAGGCCATAGAGCTCTGAAGAATTCCATTTAAGGTGGAGTTTGCCCTCACTGTAAGAAGCTTTGTCCCACAACAGATCACTGTTCTGATTGGTAGCTCTTGGCCTTGACTCGCTTGTGGTTCCTCTTTCCGCTCTTGCAGAACTATGCTGCCATGAAACTGGTGAAGCCCTTCAGCTGAACCCCCACCCCCTCCCCATCTCCTGGAGCCAGGCAAGAGACGAAGGATGCGTCTGGGGATTGCAGGAGACCCGTCCTTCCCATCACGTGACTGCGTGGAAGGAGGGAACACCCATGCTGCCTTGTAGAAACTGCACTACAGAAACGAACCCAAGATCCCCTCCCCAGTTTTCCCCAAATGCTGCTCAGGTGACTTGGCTGAACTGATGTCCCAAGGCTGGATGTTTCTTTCCATGGCCTTGTTTTCTGAAGAGGAAGCCCTTCCTGGTGATGCTTGAACGTGGTTACTGTGACCTGCAAGGCACCAGCCACATGTGGGTTTATGGCTCACCTGGGAGACCTCTTGAGAGAGGAAAAGGGTGGCACAGAGAGGAAGAGGATGGGGGCATCTAGTGAGGGGTCAAAAAAGTCAAGATGGTGGTCATGACCGCACAAAGCCTGGCCCCTTTTCTACATTACAGGCTTATTCGAGGCCTTGGACCCTTGCCTGGGTTTCTAGAGCAGGGTTCCCATCCAGAGGCTTTGGCTACAGTACCCACCCTCCCCCGGAAGAGAATGGGAGATGAGGTCCAGCACAGCTGTAACGGAGAATGTCACTCTTTCTAAGGCACCTTCCTTGCAATACACAGTAGAGGAGGCCCTCATGATACACAGTTTCATTAACCACAGTTGGTAAATATAGACCTGACCTCATTATCTGCAGGAAAAGGATCTGCAGACCTCCAGTGTTTGGTGCACAGTTCTGTCTGGCAGAAGACTTTGGGACTCTTGTCTGTGCAAATTATGCATGTGCAGAATGGTAGATGGAGCTTTGCACACGCATGTCGTGCATTTTTCTCTAAGTCTTGTTACCAGAGGTTTCATTATCCTTGGTGTTCAATGGAAAGGAACCCCTGCATATTACAAGGGGCACCTGCCCTTCAAAGATGGCTGGGAGCTCCCAGTCTTTCATTTTGCACCCTGCTGTGCTCTAGGTGCTGAGATAGATTTGAAGCTTTGCAACAGTTCCGCTTTTAATGAATGCAAAGAACGAACTTGCTCTTGCCAGACCTGGGAGATAGGGTGGAGGTACTTTCAGCAAGATGAAGTAGCAGTTTGGGAATTGAAGGTTTCCAGGAATGCCATTCAGTGTCTGGGAAGAAGGTTAAGCTCCTGAGAGGGTCGAGCATTGATCCCAAATGCGTGAAAGAAGTTGAGTTACGGGATTTGTGTTTGTTTGACCTGGTGCAAAAGCAAGGAGGAGTGGGGATCTGCGAGGAAGCTGCCTTACAGCAAGTGGGACCGTTGGTCCTTCTCACGTTGTACCAACCAGTATATTTTTCAACGGGCTTTCCCACTGAGCTCCTTCCGCCACACCCTTGGCTCTGTCACCCAGGGGCCGGTAAGACATTAGGGTTTGTGGACTTGGGAAAAGTTCATGATCATCAAGGGAAGAGTCCTCTCTGTCAGGGCCCCGAGAGGGTCCATACAATTTTGCCGTTCAGGACAGCTGTGCTTGTTGGAGACAATGGCCGGGAGTCAAACTTTCCTCATTATGTATCAGTTCCCACACATCTCAGAAATCATTGTAGGCCATTTCATCAGCACTGTTTAAAACTGGGGATCGTACAATTATGAGTTTGGGAGGAAGGAGCCTATAGATCCTCCAACCTTGCAAGTGATTGTTTGATATAAGTACCTGAACGTTTGCCAATTGGGATCCGAAAATCCTTGGGTTAAAATTCTAGGAAAAAGCTCTATGTCACATTTGTTTGTGAAATATTTCTTTCTGCTCTAATCTGGGAAAATATTGCTAGCCCAACTGTTTTAGTTTTCTAGCCCAAGAACATGCTGGAGATAGATCTCTTCATGTTTTCCAAACTCCTGAGCTCATCCTTTCTTATTTGATTATGTGCCATCAACTCATGTTGACTCTCAGCGACCACATAGATAGATTTTCTCCATGACGAACTGTCCCAACCTGGTCCTTCAGGTCTTCCAATGGCGCACCCATCGCCACCGTGGCAGAGTCCACCAACCTTTGCCTAATGTGCCCAAATTCTTGAGTTACGGAGCACGGCAACCTTTGTGACTCACTGATAGATCAGCAACATGCGGGCCTTCTGCATTTGCTCCATTAATCATATAAACGAACTGGCTGAAAAACATTTAGTGTAATCAGACAGATGATTTCCAACCAAACTGTCCTTATTTTTAACATAACTCTCCCCTGGAGGAGGGCCTGGCATGGATGTGGCCTTAAGAAGGAGAGAGACCATCCTTGCCGCTAAACTAAGAGTTTGTCTCCTTATGCAAGTTTAATGAAAGGTTTCATTACCCAAAGTCTTTCAACAGTTCAAGCCAAACTGACCGACGTCCTGCTTTTTTCTGGACAAGTTGCCTCTGGTGCCAGCAAAGCCGATCCCCATCCCGCCCCACTGCCAGGACCCTCGGACAGGCCAGCCAAGCTCTCTGCCCCGATCTGGGCCCACGCTGCCTGCTGCTAAACAGGCTGGGCCGAACCCCTTCCTTTGGCTTCCTGATCTTGGAATATCGGACCTGACCCGCCAAATAGCTTCTTCTGTGTTTGGAGAACAAGCCAAGCCTTGAATTTGTACTTTTGCAATATTGAAGTGCTCTTCTGTGCCATGATCTTCGCTGCAGCTGAGACAGACCAGAAGCCAGATATAAAACCGCTTGCGAGCTGCTCTGGAACTGGGGTCTCTCTGAGAGGGAGGTGGTGGCGAGTTTTCCACATCACCTGTATCTGCCTTTGAAGCAATATTCCAATTGCACTATAGTTACCAATGAAATGCTATTAAATCTTCTGAATGCTGGTGATGTTTTATTTTCCAGAGCCTGAATTGGGGAGGGGGGGGGGGGAGGAGAAGGGGGGCTGGGTGTGCATTTGTGCTCCAGGCATCTGATTCCACTTATGAGGAAAGCCAACCGAGCTCTGCTGTTTTATTTATCTCCTTGGCAGGGGGTGAAGCCACGGACATGTCCTGGACGAGAACGCTGGCCCACTGGGCTTTGAGTCGCCCTCCCTGGCTTTGCCCCTCCCCCGGGACACAGGCCGGGAAAAGTCACTCCTGGCGCGAGAAGCTCAAACCGGACACGCGGCGGCTTCTTTGCAGCCTGAGGCCGGGTCATGGGGTAGGTCCCCCATCCTGGTCCCAAGCCAGCCCTCACCCCCCCCCCATGGTCCACCCCAGCATCTGGTCTCTCTTGCAAGTGCCGGGAAGGGGAAGGGGAAGGGGCTGGGGTGCCCTGGGCCTTGGGGTGCTGCCCTCGTTTTTGTAAAAACTTCAGAGTAACGGGTGGTCTCTGGGCTGATCCGCACAGCCAGCATGATGTGGGCCAGGGCGCCTGTCTTTTCCACCGTGGGCCAGTAATCGTGTTCTCACACTGGTGCGGTGCTCCCCAGCTCGCCCGCTGCCCTCCATTTCCTGGTGGCAAACCTTTCCAGGGGAGCCTCGCCCCTTCCTAGGAACGGACTAATGGGTTAGGGCAGGCAGACCCTGTCTCCGAAAGCCACGGCCATAGTAAGAGACGCAATTACTTTTTGCTGTTCCCCAGGACTGTGGGGGGTGGAAGAGCGCAGGGCCCGGGGCTTGGCCAGCCAGAGAGGCAAACGCAGGAGGGTCCTCATGAGGTCCCAAAGGGCCCCTCTCCGTAGTTCTGGGAAGGAGGCTGGGAGTCGACCCTGAGTTGGCGTCTCCGAAGCCAACTCAGCAGCACAAGGAAACGAGGCCGCCAAAAACACGGCGGCTGGACGCCACGGCCAGCGCATAAGACAGCTGAAAGACGCCGTACCAGATCAGAAAACGTGGCGAGAGCCGGCCCTCAGAATCGCCGAGAATCGGACGCGCTGAATGGGCAGCATCGGCGTCATCAGGCTAAGCCTAGGCCTTGGAGAGGGAATCCCCAGGTGGATTCTGCTCTGGGACAAAGGTGCCCTTCCTTGAATGTCCCCGGGAACCTCCTGCTCCTAAACCCCTTGTTGCACAATATGGAGTCCCTGGGTGAGAAAAACGGAGACAAACGCCTCTCCAGCCCTGGTTCCGGGTGGCACACGCAGTAGCCATGAGCAAAAGTGGCATTTTCCATTTTTCTTGCTATCTTTTTTTTCAATTTTTGTTTGAGAGCCAGTTTGGTGTCGTGGTTAAGACATCGGCCGGTTCCCAACAGCCTGCTGAACCCCAGAGGACCCATCCTCAATTTAGCACAGGGGTCTCCGCTCAAGTTGTGACAAGTGGCTCCTTTGGACCAGTTCCTAAGCACTGAAGCCTTTTCACCCATGGAAACAAGTCTCTAGTGGGTCAAAAACGAAGAAGAAGGGGAGTATTACAGTTTGCCATTAAGCATAAAATTGTTAAATAGTAATTAAAAAAAATCTTTGCTGCAAAAGTGAGCCGTTTCACTTTCAGTCACTTAGCTGGCAGCGCTTTTCATCAACCAGAACTCCAATATTTGGTACTATTACCATGTTGACAGGTAATTTTTTTTCAAGATCCTTTCTAGGATGATACAATCTAGAAAACTGATCCAGCTAAGAGCTACTCAAATCTTACTTTTCTTCTTCCCCTTCCCCCTCCCCTTCCCCTTCCTCTCCTCTTGCGAAGTGGAAAGATCTTTCTGTCCTCCCTACTTTCCCTCATTTGTTTTC